CGTACGCGTCTCTTAAGTTAGTTGACAATGAATTGGATCGCCTGGAGCAATCGGCGTGATTTCTAAAATGGAATACTCAAACTGGGCAGCGCCCATAGTGATAGTGAAAATGACAAACAGAACCTTTCGCCTATGTGAAGATTATTCAACCGACCTGAACGTAGCACCGAATCTCCATCAATACCCGCTGCCAATACCGGAAGATCCTTTTACCAACCTCAAAGGTAATCGCATTTTCTCAAAGATTGATCTCTGGGATGCCTATTTTCAAGTAGTAGTCGATGACGACCCCTGCCGCCTCCTTACAATTAACACTCACCGTGGTCTTCATCAAAACAATCGGCTATCGTTCGGAGTGAACGCTGCTCCGGAACTCTTTCAACAACTGACGGATACTATGCTAGCGGACATACCATGGGCTTGCATGATATTGTGGTCATCATCATACCTGCTACGTCTTGTTGGTACTGGAACGCCTATGGGAATACGGTTTGACTCTGAGAGCTGATACGTATTATTTGTTTATGCCTCAACTTGAATACCTTGGTTTTATTGTTAATCGTGACGGGCGAAGATCTGATATTGAAAAAAGTTGCGCCATCGAGGAATTACGGGCAACACACGACATACCTACTCAGCAATCGTTCCTGGGCATGGTAAGTTATTACAGTGTATTTATTCCTGATATGCATCGACTTCTCTGACCAATGAAGGAGTTGTCGGGCAAAAATCGACCCTGGGCTTGGTCTTCCAAATGTGAGGAAGCGTTTAGGCTCATTAAGAAGGCCCTTGTATCTGACTTAATGCTGGCACATTATGACCCAGAAGCAGATATCATTGTCTCCACAGATGCATCTAGTTAATGTGTTGGAGCAGTCCTCCTTCAGCGGTTTGACTCTAGCACCATGAGATCGGTTACCTACACATCACGTGCTTTAACGAAGTCCGAAAGAAACTACTCGTAGATCGAGAAGAGGCCCTAGCTTTAACTATTGCTGTCGAAATTTTCAGTGAATGTTGCAGAGTAGTGAATCACTATTGGAGACTGATCATAAATTATTATTAGTCATTTTGGCTTCAAACGAAGGCATACCCGTGTACACGGTGAATCGCCTCCGAGATTGAGCGACATGTGCTCGAATATAATTTTACATTAACTCATGTGTCTACGGCGGATTTCAGATACGCCGATGCGCTGTCTCGAGTGATCGCAAAACAGCCGAGCATAGAAGAAGACCACGTGATCGCGTCAGTTGCACTTAAATCGGAAGTAAAACAGCTTCTGTGTAATTCAATCAGAGCTCTCCGGATTGCTTCTGTGGACATTCAGGTGCACAACAAACTCGACCTTCTTTGAAAAACGTTACACATTTTCCGATCCCAAAGTGGGCAAATCAGATTACTGACACACACCTATACCAATTTTATTGTCGACTTGAATCGTTGGAACTGGTTCTTGATTGTTCTATGTTCGGTGAACGCGTGGTTGTCCCGAGGTCACTGCTTGCAACGGTATTAAGACGCACCTACATCACCTCTGAATATCACGGATGAAAGCTTTAGCCAGAAGTTACGTATGTTTGGCGGCATCCCGGTTTCGGATTTGCCTGTTACTGTGGCCAGCAACTGGACGCCTGCGCCTACAGAGGGATCATGGGTGGCTTGCGCTGCAAAACCCACAACTCCAACCACACTCTTCAAATGCAGTGTAAACCCGAAAGAATGTGACCGGGAGGCATGTGGATGGGAGCCACGTTTCATCAACGGAGCAGGCTCAAACTCCTACACAGGAAAACACAAGCACGCTGTATTTGGGGAGTCAAACGCACAAAAGGCGGTGGCTGGACCGTAGTCCGCTCCACACTAAGTGCATGGAACCACTCTTCGATCCTAACACGGCCACAAGGACCGTGCACCCTGTCCCCTCCAGCAACGACCAACTGTCTCCTAGAGCCAGTATGGACGAGGTAGTAGTGGGTAATAAACAGGTGGTCACCTTGTGAATATGCAACTCAAGCGCAGCCGCACTGGGGATATCAAACAACAGCCAATCACTTGAAACGACATGACGAACTGAAATACATCCAATAATGCATAGAGATACGGTGACATAACTCCGCGCTAAATTAGCAAATGAAGTAAGTTGGTTAGCAACGAATCCGCGATAAGCACAAATGTTCACAAGTTACTTAAAAAATGCTACAAACGCAGTAAAGCCAACGAAGATAATCACAATTAGCGTAAGCAGCGTGTGCAAGTTAAAAGAAGATTATACAGGTACGCAGAACAAACCAAATCAAGTGGAATGAAATGTATGCAGCTGAAAATGACCTAGTTTAAGTGTAAGTTGGTTTAGCCCAACTGCGGTGCAGGAGCATCATGAATGCAACCAACTGGATGCTATCCTTCAAGTCTTGGGAAATAATTCAGGATGATTTCGCTGAACCGGTGCAACGCCAGTATTATTTTATTGTGGTTGATGCGTATACCAAGTGGCCGGAAGTATACCTGATGAACACACCCACGATAGCGACCACAGTAGGAGAACTACATCAGTTATTTGCACAGTTCGGTTCACCTTGTACTCAGAAAACGGTGCACAATCTATCTCCGATGATTTTGGGGTTTTCTGTCAGTGTAATGGCATCGGGTATTGCCGGTCGCCTCCGGGGCATCCCCAGTCCAACGGGCAAATAGAAAAATTCGTGGATACTAGTAAGCGTTCACTTCTGAAACTACTGGGGGAATGACCGACAAAGGAGACTATACAGCGCTTCCTGTTCAGTTATCGGGCTACGCCTAACCCCGCTCTACCAGGCGGCAGATCCCCAGCGGAAGCCATGTTCGGGCGTGCGATACGTCTTCCAGTTGATGCAGCACGCCCTAAGCTCACGCAACGGTCACACGCGTCAAGGGTGAGCAGAAGTATTCTACTAGGGGATTAGCCGGTGCACGCGTTGGATACGTGGCATCATCATCATTATACACGTCAGCCAGAGGTGGGAAACACCTCAGCTACTGTGCCGCAATACATAAAGGAAAAGGAAAATCAATACAACAGTTGCATGCCAGCTGAGCTACCAGCAACGGATAGGCATCGTTCCGGTAAGCTACCAGCCAGCTACTAGGCAAAAAGAAAAATTACATGTTTTACGTTACGAAATGAGATCGTGGCTGGAAGCGGAGGCTAAAAAGAATGGGGAGGGACAAAGAAACTCATCAGGAACGCCACTGAGGTTGGCTCCTTGCCATGTCAGCAAGTGGATACGAGGCGGAATCACCAAACCTGGTAACCCGCAGTGGTATGAAAATGCAAGGACAATGTGTTGTACGAGGGGTCTATCGGACCGTCGTCTTTCGTTCGGCAGGTGAATCAGTTACGCCAACGACGGATCAAAACACACACTTCTTCCGAATTGCGTTCGACGTACTGCTGGACACATTTGAAATAGAGAAAAAACCGTGGGGCTCACTGAGCCTAAGGAAACGCGTACAGAGCCATGCCACGGAGTCACTCGGAGAGCTGACCGTGAACTTCACTCTCACCCGCTGTTCTACGGTTATTCATATGCATGAGGCCACCGACTATGCGAGACGACCTGTCTGACCCACATTCTCAGCATACCTTATATTGTCGGCTGTCTTGCCAGCTTCATGTGAGCCGTCGTCTGGTCAATGCACTGCGGTGTCGTGATTGTCTGTTCTGACGGTTTTACACCCCATTAACCGCGATTATAACAAAATGCAACGCAGAGACACACATCACATCCGTCGATTTTGCTTGCATGATGAGGTTCGCGACTCCCCGAAGCGACAAGAGTTCTACCAGCGTACCGACTACTCCCCAAACAAATTACTCCGTTCACAGCAACGTCATGCTGCGGATCCACTGCATCCTGAGCTACATGGTCAGGAAATCTATCGTTCCTTGGGATCTGTAGACTTACTAAAGATACCGTGTCAAAATGTGTCATAAGTCCCTTCATTCTTCTACCGGATCGGCACGGTGATCAATGAAGCGTGTTGCTGTGCGAACTCGTCACATTGCGTAACTCGAAAATGATATGACGGTTATAATGACGATGCCCAACTGGCTGAAACTGCAGTCTAGTGCTTTTCCGGGCATTTGGACAACTATCTGATTTGGAAACTGGCTGCGAAGAACCTCACTTAAAATGAATCAAACCTATTGACTTCAAGGGACGAATGAACGAAGTAGCAGCGGCGGCTGCTGTTTCCGATCGATCTCATGACACTTTGCTGATATTTCCCATTTGGCCACCCGAGGTTGAACTTCACTGAATTTCCAATGGTTGCTTAAAATTGTGCCACTGAATTAACACCGGCGGTATTCTTCGATCTTACACGTGCGCCGTTACCACGTATATGGTCGGGCCCCATCCACACTACTCGTGGATAAACGCGGTACCCAGTTGTACATACTGGTTTGTGCCAAGGCAGTTAACGCTTGTATTTAGGAGATAAAACTACATTAGGAAAATTTTTATGGACTGCGATTGATCTCAGTCAACTAGGCGCGTTTGTACGCTGCTCTCTCGTTATCAGAATCGGTGGCTATATGACCACCAGAGTCATAGGACTGGCAGCACTATAACAATATGAAGAGACAAAACCCACCTACTGGAATGGAGGGATTACAACCTGTTGGCCCCCGTGTACATTGGTGCTGGAACAGACTTAAGGTAGGACATTGTCTAAATAAACGATTATTTCCGATACCGTTGTTGCATTGATAGTTTTCCTCACTTGTGGTTTCCAATTCACGTAGGCTTATTCACCTGTGCTGGATGCGCATTCCCTTCGAGTGGTGTTACGCGATACTTCTTCGTTAAACACACTTGACCAATTTTCATCAATGCATTTCCTATGGCTACATTACCCTTGCCCTCGGTCAGGTACACCATTGAATTTTCACCAACTTTTCCCCATACTGACTATGTATCCCCTGTTGAATATTCTTTCGTCCCCTTGACCACCAGATCGGATTCCTCTGAAAACCTGATCGACAACTTACTGGAGCGTATGCAAAATATAACAACAAATTTGGAGGCAATGGTGGACAAACGCACGGCCCAGTATATGGACGAGAAAAAGCGGGCGGAGGATTTGCTCTACTCTATGCTTCCAAAGTGAGTCGGTGTGTGCGTTGTTGTGTGCGTTGCGTCAATCCATCAGTTTGCCTATTCACACGTAAAAGAGCATGGACCTGCGAATGAACGTCATCTCGCATCACTAACTCGACCAGTTTTCATACTCCTCTGACTGAGGAGCTCCATGCGCTTCAGTATGCGGGCATAGTTTTTCCCCATCCTCATTTCATTTCAATACTGTGAAAGGTGAAACAACACATTCGGTTTACCCAGACCTACCAGTTGATTTCGATCCGTTCATAAAAGCAGTGATCTAATTACGAAAGTCCCGAGGAATCTTGTTACTTTTAATGGTGATTGTGATGAAAGTGAAAACACCAACAACCAGACCTAGTCAGGCAAACAAAATCAGTCAGCATAGTACGCAGAAAGGGATTGAAATCTCCGAAGGCCGGCCATGACAGGCGGGATTACCAAATGCACTTGTCAATTAGTTTACATCGTATAGGGTGTATGCAATCGCTGACACACCCATTCACAGTCGCTCCATCCAAATACACGGCTCGCACCAACCCGATGTAACCTTTCAGTGAGTTTTCGATGCCATGTTGCCGTATGTTTACTTATTCGCACAGTTGCCTCACTAAACCAGATGCAGAGTGGACAGACACACCTTACTGACCTGGTAGGTTGGCGGTAATGCGAAAGAACTGATTAAGACAAGACGCGTAGTTAAAATTTAGCAACCCAACCGGCGCTGCACCGAACAGTTCGTACCCAAACGCCATCTGATAGATTTTCCCATCTTTCGGTATGTCCACACATCAGATTCGGTCAAGACTACGTGGGTGCAGGTAATCAAAGTTGACCGATCTCTTGAAGTCATCGGCGCTCAGTGGCCACACTACGGTGTGGTAAACTCTTCCCTTAAATACTATATCTGCGTTCACTCTGATTGTTTGGGACCTCACGATCACACATATTTCCCTCTGTGTGCAGTAACCTGTCCGGTGACCTAACCAACAGACATGATAACTGCGCCGATAGGCTATTTCCAGTGATTTTGGCTACTGGTAACGCGTCGACGCTATCTTGCACCTCAAAGCCGCTTTGTTCAGGCCGAAGCGTGTGATGTTCTCTGTTCAGCTTTTCACCATCTCACACCAATCGCCAGGGTCCAACTTCAGAAGAAGTTTTCGTCAATATACCCTGAGTTTATCAGTCATCCACCGGGTATATTGGACACTCAGGGCAAAGTGACCACCCCGGGGACCGTCATTTCGATCAGGTAGTTGAAGGGGAGGAGAAATATGTCACTTGATGCTTTCCACTTGTTAATTATCAATGGCATATTGCGGATAAAAATGTCAAAGTTTACGTCGTTCCGCACAATGATGGGAGAGGGCTTTCAGAAGAATAAGAAAAAGCACTATATGCAGGGAAAACTAAAACCGTGAAGTTTCCGCGCAAAACTCCATCAGTCTGAATAGTTCACATATGGTCTTATGCAATTCGAATGTCACACTCTTTAGTTTTCCCCAGAAAAAATCAGCGTGAGAGCCATGATACATATACTTTAGGGTGGAAAGCAATTACTCTCGTACAACTCCAACGCTTTTTTTACCTACCGTCCTTGCTCAATAGAATCGCCATCCTCGGCCAAAGTGCTAACGGTTGGTGCTATTAAAGGCCCTTTTCTTACACCGTAATCCAGTTAGGTTATTACACGTTCGTTCGAGCTCCGTGTCCTCTGTGAATCCCCTCCATAATTTCATACCATCTTGGGCGAGGGCTCTTGTCCGATTGTTTAGAATTTCAAGACCTGGAGTCTGGCATCCAATTGTATCGGCAAGCCTTTTCTAGCGTCTTGTTCTCAGTTCAAACTAGCTACTTTCAATGTTCTGACGCCGATACAGTACGGACCACAAACGGTGCTTGCTCAGTTTCAGGAAGCCCTACCATTTGTTACCCTACTGAGACTTGTTTACTGGAGTCCGGAAGGAAGCACCGACTAATGTCATAGTCAACAAGGTTCTCTGGCATTTTTACACAAGGCTTATCCGGGGCACGCTGCCGACGCCGCCGACTATACCGATGTGGGGGTTACATAGAGTGCTGTTGTGTACGCGTCACCGCTACTTCACTCTCTCCCTACGCGCATGCTCATTCTGCAGTCTGATGAGTAATTCTCGTTTGACCGCCACCAGGTTCAAATTGCAAGTATCCAGACCAAGAGCGTCACTTTTCACACTACTCTTTCATGCATGTGTTACGCTCGGAGTATTTCTCTTCCGTCCGGGTTACAAAACCCCGGTTGTCGATTCGTCTAGTATACTTACAAGGAAGCGACAAGTGTAAAAGCAGAAGTGGCGCTACTCGCCCTGATATTTTTAGTAACCGGTTCTGCACGATTCGACTGGTAGGACGAGTACTATCGTCTAGCCACGGGATCTGACGATGCTGTTTGTTGTACAAGCTCATACCCCCACAGACTGCAGTCCCTCCTGAAAAGCACAGCACAGGCGGTGTAACACTTGCCGGAGACGTGAACACACATGTTGGTAGACGGCGACCGGGAACAGTTTGGATAACATGGCTTTAGTATTCACAAGACAGACAACGGTGATCATCTATTTCTCGGGAACACTATCTTTCGGTGATCAGTACGATAACACTGGACCTTGATACCTCCATTACCCACCTCGCTAGTGGCGCCGCAGGACCACACTGCCGTCATTTACCTTGATTCGGATCACGCACTTGTGTGTCGCTCTGTACTTTGGTGGCACGCAAAAGCGTTGCACTAAGGGGATTTACGTGACTGAGCCTTCTACCCCAAAGGTTTCTACAACCTCGGAATGCGCTAGCCTAAGGCCTGAACGTCGACTTATGCTTAAAAATTTACACTCAGTGAACACACCTTTGCATCTTTATGGATAGCACCGCGATATTGCTCTTCACTTCCAACAGAGAAACCGTCAGTCGCTGAACCTCTGCACGATTTCTTCAACTTCTTGAACTCCATCGAGCAATTTCTGTAAGCGTTGAGTACTAGTGAACGCTCATGAATACCGATACTGAAGTAAAACAATTCCTACACTTCTTACACAGTGATCCATCATACGTGAAATTATATTTTACCACTAAAGTCCTAAGCATCCGTGATTGAACACAAGCGGATCACTCAGTCCACTTGTGCCCATTACCCTTCTGTGTAACATCTGTCGGTGCAGCATTTTCGAGGCAGTCCGAAAAGTTTAAGCTTATTTCACTCCGTTGTTTCTCAACGCAGCTGTGAAGGAATCTGTGATCTCTCAATTTGTGCTCCGCGTTGTGTTTCGATTCATTTACTAGGTCCCAAACCAGCCGGGCCTAACATCGGTTGATCAACCGACCAACACTGCAACGTGTGCTTATAAAGGGATCACCGCTGACAGCGGGCGCGCCACGCTGACTTCCGCTTATCACTGACGCGGGAAGCTGCACTAACTGACCATCCGACAAACGCGTGACTTTAAAGCTGCACGCCCTCTGCGAACATGTCTCACGGTAAGAGCAAGTGTGGGTTGTGTGTTAAATTGATGAAGAGTGGGCTAGTTTGCAGCAGTTGCTTGAAAACCTATCACACAAAATGCCTGGGGACGGAGTCCATACAAATGAGACGATACAATAACACGACAGAGACGTTTTGATTATGCTCAGTATGCACTGTTATCCCCGTTCTTAGCTGTCTAACTGTGCTACTGAAGAAGTTTGAAAGACTAACAGAACCAGTCGAGCTCCTGGTGTGCACCAAGGTTACACCTATGAGATGAAACGGACCTGCACTTCTATATGAAAATAACATCCCGAATTCCCCATTCAGGCCGAAGAAGAGAACCAAATGTCCTAACCTTACCCCAACGACTCAGTCACAATCAGCACCAACTCTCTTCTCTCTCCAATAAGTAAGAACATTGTCTGCAGCGCGCCTGCTTCAACTTCTGTACAGTGTGTTACACCTAATAGTTTGTTCGCTATACAGGAGACCCTAAGCTACAGCCAAGCATATGTATGCATCGGTTGCCGCCAAGTAAACACCGGGAATTGCACCGATAACCTTTGTGGGCTGACTAGAGAAAATTAAAATGTCACAACATGGATTGCCAAAAGCACCGAAAACTACGCTCCAAAACCAGTAGCCACCAGACGCAAGCATGATGCCTTCAACCTTGTGTGCACTCATGTCCCCGAATCCAAACCCGATATAATTAAGGGTAGACTGGCAGATGATCGAAATCATTGGAGTTCCATCTGCACGGCGATCGGTGTCTATGCTGATCCCACGAAATTTAAACGCATCTCACGTCATCCAAACGCATTGCACTGCGATGAACCCCGGTTAATTCGGGTAACACTAAACTCGATGGATAAGACAGAGGCGGTTCTGCTGTCCATGAATCGACTCCGCAATGCCTCAAGTGGCGTGTGCATAGCAGCTGAAATCACGTGGAAAGCACGTGAAGGGGATCCAACTAACAGGGAAAGGAACACATAAAATACAGATAAGAAAACTATGCTTGCTGACGGTGTTTCACCACCAGGACTTAGCCACATTGTGTTTACTAGTGCGGATGTTATGAAAAGGCGAATTGTCCTGCGCGAGCATACCTCTCCCGGCGTTGATAATATTCGTCCGAAAGCGTTGAACTTGGCTGCAGTAAACCTGCAAGTTCTTCCAACGATGTCTCGATGAGATGCGGGTGCCAACAATATGGAAGCAGGGCATCGTCACTCCCATCCATAAGGGTGGAAGTCGTACAGATCCGGCCAACTATCGTCTGATAACACTACTCCCGGTGCTCTTCAAAATCATGGAAATGATTGTTGCCGAAGCGCTCATGAACTTCTTGGAGGAATGCAATATCATAGCACAAGAACAACATGGATTTCGCAAGAACCGCTTTTGCACTTCAAACTTGCTACTTGCTAGATCCAGTTGGACTGAGATCGTTGACAGCGGCGTAGGTGTTGACGTAATTTGATAAACGCTACTACTA